TCAAATCAAGCGTGTCCTTTAATTGTATTTGATTCTTTCAGTCTCTCATACCGGCGCAATTCAGTAATTTTGATACTGATGTTTATGCTTGTTACATGTAATACTACATCATTAGGAGCTCATTGTTTTAGCTTTGATAGGAATTACCGACTTAGTGAATTCTCCTACGCGCAAAACCCCCGCAGTAAAGGGTTAATGCATGTATTGTCACCTGGCGAGCGGAGCGATCGACGTGTCCCATTGAGAACAGTTGCCACTGGGACGAGAATTGCATAATGTAGCTTACATATCAGTAGGCTACTAATTCAATCAAAGGCTTAGTTTCAAAACATTTTTGTCAATTCCATTATAGTGATACTCAGAGATAAGCCCAATCCATTGTTTTGATATATATATATATATATTAAAATTCAGCTTGGCAGTGAGGCTTAGAGGACACAAACAAAGGAAATTGAATGACCATGTTTATTCATTTCTTTTGTTTGTGTCCTCTAGGCCGCGCTATCAAGCTGAATTTTAATATGTCGAAAGTAACCTATTTTCAAGGTCCAGAGCTAGTTCTAGCTGTTTTTTTTTTTTTTTTTTTTTTTGTGGTGTTATGCATTTTATGCACAAAAACCACTGTGTCAGAGGCCCATCTATGTTGTTATTCGTCAGACAGTCGGTCAGTCAGTTAGTCAGTCAGTCAGTTTGAGCTCGAAATGGCACGTGACAGACCTCCGAGAGTTTAAATAGTTCGGCAGGTAGACTGGTTGTTGTTTCGTCGGCCATTGCTTTTGGCGTAACGTTGTCGTACTGCGTAATTACAGCCGTTTTACCTGTTTTATGAAACTTTGGAAGAGCTTTCAGTCGCAAATTAGTTGTAATTGTTCAAGGTAAGTTAAGTTATTTTAAAATCGCTCCGTTGTGCTGTTTATGATTTGTTTCCTTCCTTTCATCAATAACTGCACTGCCTAGTTTGTTCTTTGTTATTTCATTCGGATGTTGGAGTGAGTTTCCTCGGCAAGCCAACATATCTAGACTCGACTTGTGTTTAGTGCGGATTGCACTGAAATTATTACGCTTTCGTAAGCCAGCATTCATTGGCTTGAAATCCGGTGCGGGTTGCACCACACAAGCCAGTTTAATTAATCAGGGTTGTCAAAATAAGCCGGCTGCCGGCTCATTGAACCGGCTATTTCGAAAACTGCGCCGACTTCTCCGAATGCTTGAAGGATTAGTCCAGAGCCTGATATTGGAGAAATAAAATTGAAATAAAATTACTCAGTTTGTTGGAACCCAATTTGGATCGGAGTCAATAACGTATTTGCTAAAAAAGTGCGTGTCACAAATCGAAACTTATTTAATTAGCCGTAAAATGTGCTACACCTCAGCGCGTCATTTTCTGAAGCGAACAAAACACAGAATAAAGTACCTTAGAACAGTAAGGTGAAAAGTAAAAGGTGTGAACATGGAACATTCCGGAACATTCCGGAACATCCCCGAACATCGAATAATTATGATAATTACGAGAAAAATATGTAATGTTAAATTTTCAAAAATAAAATGAACAAAAATAAACTGGTATCAGCTAAAAATATGAAGAGATATTTTGGGGGGTAGGGGAGTCGGTAGGGGAAGGTAGGGAGTATTGGCTATTCCTTCAACTGACCACAAAGAGTGCAGGCTCCTCTTCTTTCCCGCCAATTGCGTCACGTGGCTTTACAGAACTTTGTTTTTCAACACAATCATGGTAATTCATTGCGTTTTCTTTGTTGACCCCTGATTATCAACAGTCAACTGGACAAAACATTTTCCAAGAAAGGCATTTCGACCAGCGACCCTGCAAGACGGCGCGTCGCCAAATGTTTTTAAATTTTTTGTTTGTATTTGTCTACACTGTCATTAGAGCTCGAGCAGTCCGAACTAGTTTAGACAAGAAACTCAATGCCGAAGAGTTTATATTTCTATCTCATGTAGAAACCATTTCTTCATGAGGAATCGTGTATATACGCATATCTTTGAATTGACGTAATGAATTGAATAAAGAAATCACACACGTGTACCCATATTTTTCAGTATGATTCAAAGCTTCGATCGCCACCAACTTGGTTTTCTATAAACAACGAAATCTGGGAATAAGGGACAGTCACGTGATTAACCTGATGGAGAGACTGGAACGAATGGATTAGTCTTTTAAGTTGCGAGCCTTCTGTCATTGTAGTCATTTTCATTTTTCTTTCTTTCTTTTTTTTCTTTCGTTTTGTTACGTTTTTGTTATGTTTTTGTTTTTGTTTTTTCCCGAGCTGATAGCAGTTTATTTTTTGTTTAATTTAATTTTTTAAAAATTTAATTTTACATATTTTTCTCAGTCATAATTATTGTAATTATTCGACGTTCTGGGATGTTCCGGAATGTTCCATGTCCCTGGTTTTATCGACGCCCGCCGTAAAACGTTCTACACCTTAATGTATCATTTTCTAAAGCGAACAAAACACAATAAAATAGTCTCGTAAAAGGTGAGTTCTTGTTCTGTACAAATGGCATTGCAATAAATAGGGCTGTAGATTTATTATTATTATTATTCCTATGAAGTACTATTTAAGTAGATTTATTTACACAATTATTAACATCTACGGTCATCGGTGGGAAACTGGCTGATATCCGCCATAAAACTGCAGAATTACCTCAGTGTACACTTTCCCTTACTTTAATGGAATTAAATATACCCCTTTGTATTTTCTGAAGCGATGTAGTAATGTTCTAAATTTACAAACTTAGTATGGTACAATACAAACATAGGGGTGAACACAGAATATTTAATTTAGAGGGGAAGTCCCGACGAGATGCTTATAAGATAACCGGGGGGGAGCAAATACGATCGCTTAAAAAAAAACGCCTAAAATTCTGAACTTAAGAGTAAACTATGAAAGAAACTTGATATAAAATTTTTTTAAATAACCTTTTATGTGACGTAGGGCCAAGAAAGCACCAAAATATCAAACATTTCTGAGCCGTGGATTTCTGTGTGCATGATTGCCAAATTTATCGGCTAGACAAAACGTCACTTCTGTTAATTGGTAAAATGCTCATTTCTTTTTGAGTTCTCTTAGTGAAATTTTACTCTCACAGTTTTTTTAGTTTTAAAAAGACAATTTGATAATTGTACATTAATTTAGTACATAAATAGGTCCAAATAGATTTATTTTATTATTTTTATTTCATTGCCTCCTTATGCATAAAATACAAATACAAAACAGTAGTTATACAATGTGCAGAGTAACGGTGCAAGTGTGATTTACATTGTATAAAAAAAATAGAAAAAATCAAGGACCAAAAACAATAGTAAGGCACACGAAACTTAAATGAAATAATTCCACTCATAGTTGAAATCTTCTAATTGTTTGTTTTTTATAGTGATTTGCTTGAGTGAATCAGTCCTTTCTAACCTCTTTGCTGTGTCGTGTATATGAACACTGAATTTGACAATGACTAATTAAGAGTAGGAAAATCATCTACAAATGTACATAATGATCGCCAAAAGTAGCCCCACATTGCTACAAAATAAATGATGACCTCGTGGGACTCAGCTGTTGATGTTGTTATGTATTTAAACAGACTTAGTCATTACAGCAGCAAAACATGATGACATTACATTTACAAGTTCAATTGACATATGTAAACAGTGCCGACATCAGAAAGTTAAAACTCACATAATATAATGCACAAAAAAGGGCTTAATTGAGAGATTGTTGTTGTGTTATGTCCCATTGGGACTATGAACTTAATGAATAATTATTATTAGAGGATGAAGTAAGTAAGTATATAGAGAGTGCTCTGCATTGCATTTCCCACTTAAAAATTGTAACGACTTGACTACCTTTTCAATTGTAGCAATTCAACTCCCAGATACTGACATTTAAAAACAACATTCCAAACGAATGGAATAAAATTAAGCATAAAACCACAAGTACGCATTGCGGACCTATTTTTTAACCAGCAAACAAGTCACTACTTCCGGGAGTAACAAATTCAATCGAATATCTCGATCGGTTTCATCGTTTGATATTTTGTGCAATAAATAGTACTGGAGAAAATGCATGCCTGCCCCTCATCTAATCAGGCTTGTAAAAACGTTCAACGTTCAGTCAACTGAGTGGTTCATTTCTTTTTCTGCTACTCTATACTGCGCCCGTGTTTTGTCTCCAACCGCTAGTCTAGACAATTCGACAAGAAGCTCTTGCTACAAATTGCAATCAATAATCTAATGGTGACTAGCGCGTATTGTTATACAGAAAAACTCGTTCCGGATTAAACTCTGTAAGCAAGCAAATGATTTCATCACTGTCGCTGTCACTGTAAGACGCGTTGCCTCATTGCAAACAAAACAAAGTCCCCAACATTTCCTGTTTTAAAGGAGTTTTTAATATTCAATCTGAAGAGTTCTTACCTGACCAGCAGTCCAGCAAGGCTTTTGTACGGACTGATTTAATTCCGCTTTCAGTCGTGATTTCATCTCATCCAATGTTTGTAATCCTCTGCACGAAATTCCAAGCGCCGCCATCGCTTGAAACATATCCGACACATCGTCGATTTCTTCGATGGTTTTCGATTTACGACAAGCCATTTTACTGGTTTAAACAAATTTGAGCTGAGATCATAAAACAAGACGATGGTTGAAGATGAAAGGCTACATTGGAACGTAAGAAGAAGTTTAACTTTCATGCAATGATGTCCCTGAAGCTACAAAACAATGTTGCATCGTTGTTCTTGTGTGCAGAGACCATGATTAAGTGAGTCTCAGTAAACGGTTACGGCGAGATACGTCATTTGTAGGGCAACCCTAAAATCAGGAATCTGGAATCCGGAATCCGGAATCCGGAATCGGAAACCGGAAACTAGAAACCAAAATCAAGGAAAACGTTTTTCAAATAGGCGAAAATTATTTTGCATAGCTCTTGCCTGTAAAAAATAAGAGGCCAAGTAAAAAAGACCTCAAACTTAACCTTTTTTGAAACAAAAATTACCCCTCTGTTGAAATTCGTGCAACCGTTATTTCTAGTGAGGGCTATGATTATGAGAATCTAAATAACTTGCGTCGTAATATGATTCCAAGCACCCTGATAGCGTCTAAAATAAGCTTGCTGGTAATTGCCATTTTGTTTTATAAGTGATTTGCAATTTACCGGAGGTATAAATTTAGCCTTTATGTCTAGTAGATACTGAACAAGGTAGAAAATGTCATAGATAACAGGGTCTCCATCAGTGACAGCCCCCTGTACATTGACGGTCACGCCCCCCACTTTCGATGTCCAAAGGCTAACCTAGCTCGTCTAAATAAATTTGTTTTTTCCAACAGATACGAGACTAATTCCAGATCAACACTATTTCCACAGTAATACTGTTACAAATCACCACTACATATTCTTGCCGGCCATCGTATCAAAACAATTTATAGAAATGTTGCACACTTACTTCCGTCTGCTTCTCGCTTGGGAACAGATCGGACCACATGTTGTTAAAAGATGCTAAAAGACTGCCAGAAACTCACCGCAGTAGCTCGTTGCTATTGTGCTACTCACCAGTCTTCTTAGAGCAATTTGATCTAGACAAGAACCACGCTCTCACCAGGGCCATGTTGAACAAAAGAGGGGTAACTTAGCCTGCGTGTCAGCGAGCAGGCTCTCGTGGTTTCGCCGGGGCGCGAGTTGCGAAGCCGCGAGTTGCGAAGGCACTCGCTCACATGCAACGCAAAAAGACAGTAGACACTAGAGCTTGCTCAGACACTAGAGACAGATCCTAGAACCTGCTTGTAGGCTGAGTAACTCTATCCACCCGAAAAATCACCAACCCGGACAGGATAGTGATTTACCCAATGGATAGCTTTAACCAGCTTTTGAACAACCGGGTCAGATGTATAGCTAAGGGTTGTTCAGTGTGACGTCTGCAGCGACTGGCAAATTCCAAAACGAGACGAAACAAAACGAGCGACAAACTAGTGGGTGGGACTACTTTACAGGTCGTCTTCAAGGGTAGACAAGTAAACCACGGAAAACCAAAGTCGACGGTTATCGGCGATTTATTGCATCAACATAAACGATCGTAAACTGAAATAACAATATGTAACGAATTTCTATCAATTTAGCGGAAAAGTTGCGTAAC